ACCAAGATTTAAAAGCACATACCTTCTCTCAATATCATCACAAATGGAAACAATATCACAATACGAAGAGAAGAAAACTAGTCACTAAGCACCTATAAGAATTGAATCAAGCCCATCCTAGCTTTCTATGCTCTATTTTCATAAATGGAAATAATCTCAATAGAAAGAGAGAAAAATAAGAAAACTAGTTCCAGAGTTCGTATACCACACGGATTGGCGGAGAAGTGTCGAGTTTTGTTTCAAAGACTATGATAAAAGTAAAATGAAGCAAGAAACTATAGGTGCCAAGAGTGCTAACCACGCTTTGTGGTGTGCTTAGATCGAGTTCTATTGTAACTTGAACTTAAACGCATTAGGCTACAATCAGGGGTGGATCCAGGAACGAAGAGTGGGGTGGGCTTAGCAGGAAAAAAATTGTTATTGCAAACAAAAAGTTTAGCTTAGGCTGCTTAGGGCCGTAATCGAATTGAGTTTTTTTCGAACTACGCGAATTCGAGCGTGATTTCGAATTTAATTTAGCGATCTGAGCTTAAAAAAATTGTTATTGCAAACAAAAAGTTTAGCTTAGGCTGGACAACTAGACTCGGCTAGAGGCAGCTAGTCGGACTCGAATAGACTAGAGGGGCAGAGCCACAACGAGCTACAAGCTAGAGTGTCGGACTCCAGAGGGACACCGACGATCGACCGCAGACATAGGGGACAGGAAAGCAGGTGGCGACGCGGTTGGGTGCCTGTGTTTGTGACATCGTGGCTTCGTCGCTTTACTGAGTTGAGTCCTTCCCGCTTCTGCTTTGTGCTTGTTAGTCGCTTTATAACAAAAGTATACTTCTACAGTTCTAAAAATCACAAATAGTAGTTCTTACCATGCTTGTTGCAAAAATTAGAACTAGATAATGAACTGGGTGATGGAAAAAGCATAATTTTAATAATAATAATAATAATAATAATAATAGAAATAGTATATGACCAAATAAGGATAGTTGATAAAGAGTAACTTAGTTATTTTAATGATTATAATTATGTTTAAATTTTAATGCTTATAAAAGTTACTCATGGTGACTTGGGTCAAATAATAGTAATATTCATATAATAATAACAGTATTATAATAATAATATAATATTAATCATAAAATTTATGTTGTAAAATAATATTGTAAACTTGTAATATAAAGTGCTTTCATTGATGGTGTGGGTGAGTGGATGAGATAGGATTGCATTATTTGCAGCTGGCTCCAAACACCAACTACATACGATTGTTTAATACTCCATATGTAAAGTTTTGCTCCTCAATTTATCCCACACCGACTGCAAGGATGGTTCACCCTCCTGAGTGTCCTATATATAAATCACTTCTTGGTGCAATCACACCAAGCTCTATTATTACGCATCGGGATCATTTGTTCTCGGGATCATTTGTTCCCATGACTATGGGCTTTAAACAAAGTTTGGGCAGCCTTTTGCCTTTAGAGCTTCTTAGAACACTTCCTTGTAGACTTGGGGTGGGCTGAGTTTTAATTTTTGGGTAGGCTGAAAATTAAATCTCTTTCTATACTAACAAAAAAAATTGGGTTGGGTTGGGCTAGAGCCCACCCTAGACCCTACATAGATCCGCCCATGGCTACAATGGACATGTCTAAAGTCTAAACCGATAAATATATAAGGTTGGTTTCCGGTACTATAAAAAGTACCATCTATCTATGTACAAAAGAAGGAGAAATTTGGTCACTTTTCCCGCCCAAATATAGGGACAAAATTGGATTTTCACTCGGTACTAGAAAAAGTACCATTGCATAAAAAGAGCAACCAAAGAGGAATAAAATGTACACATATGGATTGTTACATATTGATAGATAGTAAGATCTGCGCCTAGTACTTGACCTCTTGTTTAAGAAGGTTTTCCCGTAATATAGTACAAGGGACAATTAGCATTGGGGTGTTAGAGTGTTCCTTTTTCCCTTAAGCTATGCATTTATCATCTTCATATTTCCTTTAGTCACAATGAAAGACAATCAAAAAATGAAAGTGATCCAAGCTACTCTCGGAAAATATAAAAAATCAGAGAAAGCCACCAAACACAGAGAAAGAAAAGAAAGGGGCTTTTTATATGAATATTACTAATTTAGAGCCTAGTGTGACCACTTTTACAAAAGGACAAAAATGTAACCAAGGAGTTCATATATTTGAAAAAACATAGTTGTGCCAGATTTTTATGTCACTAATTTTATGTCACTTTTGAATTTCACTGCCGGTTTTCATGTCACTTTAACGTGTCACTTTCGCCGTTAATTGTGTCACTGTGCCGCCTTCAAACGTCTGATTTTGCCACCGTCAAACATGTCACTGTGTCGTTAATACTCTCCGATCCAACCTCTGGCCACAGTGACATCTCCACCGCTAGTGTCATTGCCGCCACCAATGTCACTATGATTACCGAAAACGTAAATTTCAACCAAATTTGGCCGCCACGCCAAGAGCACCACCATTGCCGCCTCCCCAACCCCCATACCCGCCCCCTCCCCACCCCACCAGCCCCTCCCCAGCCCACTAGCCCCTCTCCCCATCCTACCAGCCCCCTCCCCAGGATACCAGGCCCTCTCCCCAGCCCTCTACAAGCCCCCTCCATACCTTCCTCCCCCTGGACCAATTACCGAATGAGTTTTGTCCTCTGCGCTTCCCAAGATAATGAGAAGGGCAATGTCGGCCACCGCTTGCTGACGACGGAACACATCGTCAATTGAAAAGGGTCCTCGCCCAAATCCCATTCTATTTTGATTCAGAACATAAACTGGCATAAAAACTGTTCGATCTGGATCACCCACAACCAACCTTGCATCACCCCTGTCCCTCCCCCGGCTCGAGCCCCCTACCAACCCAGCTCAGATCCAGCCCTCTGGCCACTCAATCCTGCATCACATCAACTCCAACCACCCTAACCAGCCCCAATCCTCCCCTCCCAGCCTCACGTTTGACAGCCCAACCTATCCCCGACCACCTGCAAATAAACCCTAGCCGCCGCCCTTCCCCAAATCTTACCGCTTTCTGCTCGCCATTAAAGATGTGATAGACGAGGTGAAAGGAGACGTGGCAAGCCAAGGCGCGGGGAGGCGGCTGTGCAGTGAGGTGAGGCTAGGCAGCATCCTGTGCGGCGAGGTAGGCTGGGGTAGCAGACGGGTTGCAGACGAGAAGAAGAGAGAAGAAGTCAAGAAGAAGAGTGAGGAGAGGTGCATCGGCGGCGGCAGAATCGACGTTGGTGGCTCACTCTCACGGCGGCTGTGACTGTGGCTCTGTATTTTTGCATCGAAGCTCTGGAGCGGAGAAGACGATCGTGAAGCCAGAAGGCTGGAAGGGGCATAGGAGCTCTGGACAGAAGTATTGCTGGGCGGATTGTTTTTAATCACTTTTTTGTTTAATCCCAATTTAGTCATATTTTTGTCTTTCAAAACTCTATATGTAATACTCAGGCCATTATTTCAAAAGAAAGTCACCCAACATGGGGAAAAAGCCACCAGGCATGGAAAAGAAAATATTGTGTACTACTACGTATAAATTTGTGCCTTGAATGTTTAATGACTCTTATTTTACAAATTTTGGCCACCCTTTTCCCTTTTTGGCATAGCAAATGTTATAAGTACAAACCGACCTACATAAAAATTACACACAAGTGATGTGACTATTCTAATTACGTATAACTGTATAAGTGTAAAAGTCACAAATAAGTATAAAAGTGTCGTGATATGTTAAACAATGCAACGCTATCACATACCTCTTTTGTATGACTTTTTGTAGGTATTATGTAACTTTTGGGCATAGTGTCTATGAAATAAGTTTCTGGGAGACTTCTTATCCCAAATGGGTCGAGTTGAAATGGTCGCTCAAACTCATCAAACTTTTACAGTGTATATGCTTTAGACACTCTTTGGATGCTCACTAGAAATTCCATTAATGGCTACGTTGAACAAGATTCCTCCATGTGCGCTCCTGCGTGCTAAAATCTTGAGAAGTGGGATTTAGGATGTTTTTACTTGTACTGTAATTCATCCCAGACCAGACCAGATCAAACTAGACCAGTTCAGACCAGACTTGGATAGTTATAAAAATACAAAGAAACCAGATCAGACCAGACCAGACTAGCAAATTACAGTCCAAATAAAAACATCCTAAATTTCATACTCCCTCGGTCCCTCCCTCCCAATATAAGTATACACGTTTATGTAATTAAACTTTTTTTAGTAACAATCATTCATCAAACAAAAATTACTTCATTGATAAAAATATACTCCCTCTGTCCCGAAATAAATGTCATGCTTTCCTTTTCGGTCCGTCCCAAAATAATTATCGTGTTTCCTCTTTTGACAATAATGGATGGCTCATATCAATTCACCTTTTTCTACTCAAATCTCAACCATAACTTTTACCTTTTCAACCACTTTCTTAAAACTTGTGCAAAAGCAAACAAGACAATTAATTTGGTCCGTCCCAAATTTATCTTCTTTTTCCCTTTTTGGTAAAGAATATGTGGTTCACAACCATTCTTACACATTTCTCTCTCCTCTGCATAACTCTCCACCACACAAATCCCACTATCTTAAAACTCGTGCCCGGTCAAAACCGGAGTTAAATATGGGACGGAGGGAGTATTAAATAAAGAATGGATCAAGCATGTAATAGAATTAATAAGGTAGTTGAAATAAGAAAATTGTGAACTTATAGGCATGGAACTATGGAAGTATGAAACTTAAAGGTACAAATGTACAGATGCACAATTATTATAATTTATAATTAAGAGTAAAGGTGTAATTATAAACTTTTTATTAATTACTACGTATTCATTAAGATAAAAATCAGTTCATTTAAAGTAGTTAAGTAGTTAAATGTTTCAAATGGGGTAATAAAAAAAACTACCAATGGTTATTTTAAACTATTCTAAAGCTTTTAAAAAGAAAAACTAAACAAAACATTCAAAAATCCAATAGAAAAACACACATGTAAATGCCCCTTAACACAAATCCACAATACTTTGGTGTACTTTTTGACTAGATCATTGATTTAGGAAGTCACTTTTAAATTTCTAAACTGATCCATATAATATACGTACAATTGAAGCAGCAAATAGCAAGGCCATCCGGCATCAATGCATCCTCAGACACTCACTATATGATTATAGGAGCTAAACAATGAAAAGGTGATAATAGAGAAAATGAGGGAAGTTTAGTTATGGTTCAACTAATGGAAATGGTTACGGAATGTTGCAACTAAGAGTGATAATTCTTACCTAACTAAATATTTACAAGAAGCAAGTCCATCCATCTGCGTGGAAAGTTTGACCGAGTCAAATGTTGTTTCTCTGTATCCTGTTGCCGCACTCCAAAATATGAAGTGGATCAATGGTTGGCTGGTTTGCAACTCGCAATGCTAAGCACTGCGATGTATTTTGTCCATTTGCAGATGACCGTGTTCGTGAATTACTTCTAAACTCTTCCACAGCTCGGGAGAAGGCATAAGGTGTACAACCTTATAACATAATAACAAATACCAATTATTATGCAAATTGAATAAAATGACATATAAAAAGGTGTCTGGTTTTCTAATAAGAACCAGAGGAATGATAGTATTACATGAATGGATTGTGCAGCAGATGGAAACAGATGGAATGTACCTTGAGAGTCATATGGGGGCGGGAAAAATTGCAGATAGCAGAATGCGGCCACTACAAGACCTGAAAATTAAGGGATATATAATATAACAATAGAGTAAAGAAGATGCATGCATACTTTACTTGAGTTTAGTGTTCGATTAATGTCTATGGAAAACAAACCTAAGAGGGCCCCAGCAAACACATCTTGCCAATGATGCCAGTAGTCATCCACACGAGAAACGCCAACAAGAGATGCTACAAGAAGAGGAAGAAAGATGATGCATAGCTTCGCCACATGTCCTCTACGATCAAAAGCTTTAAATTTCCCTGCTAAATACATCGACAGGAAACCTAGGCCAGCAAATGACCCTGCAGAAGACAAAACCCCCATTTTTTGCCATGAAATAAAACTCTAATGTGATATATTACTGTGCCAACCCATAGGATTAAACATCACATCCTAATATATACAACAATAGTATTATGATCAGTGCATATATGTGTGTGTTCATTTTTGTAAGGTACAACTATCATAAATTATAGCAATATTTAAATAGTCTTAAAGACAAAAAGAGATGCAAACATAGAAAAGAACAGTCATACAACCAAAGGCAACAGACATGGAAATGAAAAATAAGAAACATGATATTCTTTTCTTTCACCCATTTTTGAAAAACAATTTTCCATACAATCTCAGGGACATCTTTGAAAGATCAAAACAAATAAAAAAAACAAATAAAAAAAAACTTACATGAAGTGTGACCACTTGGAAAACTCTTGTGCCCTTCTTTTATGTCACTTTCTTTACCATGGCATACCACATTGCCCCAACGATCATAAAGCTGAAAGAATTACATAGAGATCCGACAAGTAAGGCAAAAGTAACAACTAATCATCTTCTTCTTCTTTTGAAAAGTAAATAACAACTAATCTCGCTTTTCACTGTTTAAAACCAAAAACGAATCATGCAGATAAATAAGTTTCATGCATTAGTTATTAAGGAGTAGTATTTACTCATCATCATCCCCACATTAACCGAAGTATTTGCACATTGGTCAGATAATTCCTAATCAAGTGAATCTAGTTTTTTTAAAATGATGTAGAGAAAATAAGCAGTTTTGACACTCATTGTAGTGCGAGTGTATAAGACAATTAAATAAGTCTTCTGGATTCTTACATCCCGTCCATCTGGAAAGCAACGCCAGAAAAAGTCAGGTCGAGGGCGGCCAACTGCATTTTTTATTGCATCCGTCATGACGGCAGTTATTAGTATAGCAAATAAAAGTCCTGCAATTTCATGTGTTAGCAAACTATTAGAAACTCGAGAAATCTTTAGTCCAATATTGGCAGAATCTCGTTTCACCGTCACATTCAGAATTTGTGAATAACTATTAATTTAGTAACTTTCTATATAAACTTCACTATAAAAATAAATTACCTAGTATACTGTGGTGTAGATCATAGACATCCTTCCTTCGAAGATAGAAGAAAATGAAGATCACAATAGGCAAAAGAACTGCAAAGATCTGTTCATTGACACGCATTATTGAAAAAGAAAACGAAAAATCTTCACATACAATAAATGCATTGCCCATCATTGCAAAATTTAAGTATATGTCCTCTTTGAACTAGAATCTTGACTTCCATTTAATCAAATTATTTTTACTTCAGAGTTTAGAGACTTACCGCAATCCAATTGCTTGTTTGAACTCAATAGTTTTTTATAGTATAATAAGACTCGAGTTCCATCCTAAATCTCAAGCTTTAGGAAGAATTATTAAGGTATGGGTTTTATATTACAAAAAGGTCAACCTGATAGAAATAATTAAAGACTTTATATGTTGGTTTGTATCTATATACTTACTTGGCTCGTGTAGATAGCTTAACATGTTTCTGTTAGATGGTCGCTCGTTGGAGTTCATCCATCTTGAAATTGCACTTTTTTAGTCTTAATCGCATTGACTACTCATTTGAGTTTAATTGGCTCGAATAGCGTATTAAGTTTTTGGTTCTATCTCAAGTTCAAATATGAGTAGCCTAACGCCTTATATGTTGGTTTTTTCTTTATCTTGCCCCATATCAGATAGGCAGATAGCTTAACAAGAATAACTTAAAGCATTGTACAATACTATGAAGCACAGAAATTCTCAAGAAAGAGTATGTTTTTGTTTCGGAATCTCTTCAGAAACTCTCCAAACAAAAAAATAATAATTAAAAGATGATGTTTCCCGTTTCCTATTTCCCCATGTTTCCCAGGTTTCCGTGCAACATAGGTACAATATGATTAAGGCTGGCATTTTGGACCGAAAAAACGAAAACCGAACCAAAAAAAACCGAACTGCATTCAGAAAAAACCAAACTAAACCAAACCGATAGAATTTGGGACCCAAAAATTGGGACTAAAAAAAACGGTTTCAAATCGGTTTGTAATACCAAAATATCGGTTTGAACCGAACCAACATTTTTACATTTATAATGTTTAATACTACGTAATAATTATAATAATTATTATAGTTAATGAGCTTTATTACATGTATATAATACGTACTATAAAATTCAGTCCACCATGAGCAAACATAGCTCTTCAGAAAGATGGTTGGCAAAATAATTAAAACGATGGACGTCCCGTGTTTGATTCCCAGGAGTGGTTTTTTATATTCAAAGCTTCAGTTTTCAATTTTCTTTCCACAACCCTTTGTCCCACACCGAAAAAACGGGAAACCTTCCCCCTCAAAAGCAGCTATATAAATTGGATGTTTTCACAAGCTTCTAACCGTGTAAAATACCTAACATACTCCATGAATTTGTTAGGCAAACTCAATTTGGGCTGACACTTGTGAAGGCAAGGCTTGGGCCTAGTGTGTTGAAAACTAGTTCAATGATTTTGTTTTTGTATTGAAATTCGGTTATTGTTTCGGTTTTTGATAAACCATCCCGAAATATTGGTTACCAATAAATTGGTACCCATTTCAGAATGGTTCGGTTTCGATTATGGTTATTTGGATAACCGAAATGTCGGTTCAGTTTTCAAATACCCTTGATCGGTTCGGAACCCGAACCAAACCCAGTCCTAAATATGATGCTTGTATTTTTATATTCTTCTTACGTGGGCTGGCATAGCACCTTAGTCCCATTCACATAGCAAACCCTTGATGATGACATACTTAAGGCTACAAATAGCTACAGCAGAGCGTTCATAATGGTGGAACCTGGAAAGTAATTACTTATCATGAAAATGAAAATGTGAAAGTATTAACTTACAGGAACTGCCCAAACAGGGACAGTGCTCTCTTTCATGGGGTATTTGAGATCCGACATCATGTCGGCACCTACAAAACGATAGAATGGACCTATTATGTAGAGGATGACCTCCAAGAGCAGGAGGAAGAGAAGAATGAGCCAGTCTAGTTTGTGATCCCATGCAAGTGTTGAGCCATGGGACTTAATTGTGTGTGGGCATCCTGGCTCCACCTCCATTGCTGTACCCTGCTTAGTTCATTTTTTATTCAATTGAGAATTCTAAAGGTTCACTTGGATCCCGGGAAATTCTAGCGAAACAGAATAATAATAACGAAAGTAGATAGAGATACTGGGGGAATTAAATTTTCGGATCAAATCATCAAACTCAACATTACAATTATAGATACGTAGTATTTCATATGAACTCATTTTATTTATATATCTCTATCTATATTACATGAAGACTAACACTTAAATATATGTAAAAACCTAAAAAGTTCTTACCAAATTTTATTTTTGTTCGTATTATCCTGGGTAATTGTGTAAAACCAAACACTAAAAATTGCTTAACATTTTTTCTTTTCCCTACAATTTTTTCTGTCAATACATAGCTCTATGAGAAATAGAAAAACAACATCAAGTGCAACTCATGCATTGATCCAAATGTCCAAAACAAGGAATCTAAAAGTGTCTTCTATAAAAAGGTCACGTCTTTCCACATTTTATGAATTATTAACCTACATTTCCCCCCGTTAATTTGTTGGTTTTAATTCATCATAACATTGTTTGATTTTATTTAATTTGAAATTATATTAACTACTGACACTGTTTTTGGACAAAATTTTATTTTGAAATGAGGGATCTTTTTATTTGGGGGGGGGGGGGGGGGGGGTAATGCTTCATATGCCAGCAATGATTCTTAGGATTCCAAATTTATTATGGGCACTAAACATTCTTCCTAGTCTAATTTCAGCAGTAACAAAAAATACTCTCTAGCGCCATCAACATTAAATCTCCATCTGGTTCACACACAATAAATATAATTTATAACACTCCGTATTTGCTAAAACTCTATTTATTCATTTATTCTTCCTTTGTATGATTCAAGAGATTCAAGGTTACCAACAAATTTTATGAAAACTGTTCACATTCTTTCATATTCTTGGATCTAAACACACCATAAGCCTATGAGGATATGAACCATTGCTCACTTCTGCAGAACTGGAAAAGTTAATTCTCCCTAAATCAACCACACAAGCTTGGTGGAACCAACCAATGCAATTTTTTCAGAGAACTACAGAAAAACATGGGGTTAGGGAGATGCAAGAATAGAAATGCGATACAGAAAGGCAATTAATTTATTTAGAGTGATTTTAAAAAGCCAAACATAAATTGTACGGAGTATATACGACAGAGAAGGAAAGTACAAAAAACCTGGAACACATTGCTGAAATTGGGCATCTTGTTCCTCCAAGCCATATGAACAGTGTGCTGAATCTTTGGTCCTCTGAGCAAAGCCTACACAAGGAATCTTCAGAGTCCAAATAACCAAAAGAACAAGGGAACTAATTAAAGAATGGGGGAGATGCAAACAATGCTTACTATTTCAATTTTGAACTATTTTTAGAGATGATTAAAGATTAGGGTTTTAAACAACATCATGACACCTTATCTTAAAAGGGACCAAAGTTTTTTCAACAAGTGAAAAAATAAGTGGTTTAGAGCCAAGGAACTGTTTGATTACCTATGGGACCCCTACAAATTATCAACAAGACAGATAGAGACACAAAGCAGTTGAGGCAGTGGAGTTCTCTCTCTTTTTGGATGGTGAAAATGATAAATAAAAACATTAATGAATATGGAAACACAAATGGGGAAAATTGGAATTTTTATAACGGCTTCTTTGATTAACGTTAATAGTAAAAGTTAAAACAAGATAACGATGTCGTCTGCGCTTGGTAACCGTATTTTGACGCCAAACTTGACAACAAAACCACTCAAAGTATCCTCCAATAATATGAGAGGGTACCTGTACCCTACTTATTGCCTATTTGAAAAATCCAAATAAACGCCTAACGTTTCACAAAGCTTGATCAATGAGTTTTTTCTATATCTAATGTTTCCTTGTGAATATAAAGAGGGTGACAAATTTGACAATCTCCGATGGTGGAAGGATAAAAAATGATGTTTCCTATTTTATCAACAATGGTGAAAACAAGTCATATTCAATTCGGTTTCAACGGTTACTTTGGAACAAGGGTTTAGTGAAGCTAGCAACGTCCTCACTAATTAAAGAAAGAGTTTGAGCGCACAATATCTTGAAACGTTGATATGTTTATGCAATTGGTTGAAGACCCGTCAGCGGACAAAATAACAAAACATAGCACCGACTCGCCACTTAGAAGATATTTACCCATGCCGTCAGCCAACATCTGGAGGGCGTGATGTATGTACGGATAGTCTGGGACCCCGCCAATCGAAGTTGGTCGGCTTGACACAGCATGGCGGCATCCAAAGTTGGTTTACTATCCCGAACCTGGAAGGCATTCCATCGGTCGGGAAAAGGAAGGGGTGTTGGAAAAGTGTGTTAAAATTGCATTAAATGGTCCTTTTGGGGCAATTATTTGAGTGGGGTCCACTTCCGATTTGGGTTGGGTCAAAGTGGTTTCGGATTGTCCTTGTTAAGGGCTACAATTCGATATATGGTACACTCAAAACGGATAACGGGTGAATGAGAAATTGATTCTCGAAGTTCACTCGTTGAAATGGAAAAACTGGGAAAATGGTGAGTTTCTAGTGTGTTTTATCCCACACCGAAAAACTCAAGGGATTTTCACCCCCTTATAAAGGGAAACCTCTTTTAAGGAGTTAAGATTCCTAAAGGGAAAAGCTCTCTCTTACGCGCGGGGGGGGGGGGGGGGGGGGGATCAAATCCCAAAACGGAGAAGAAAACCCGCGACTCGTGTGCGCGGGCGACCTGCAGACACGAATGTCGTCCGAAAACCTATCACTCAAAGATACGGTCTAATTTTTGTTTCTTCCCGTAACGTTTTATTTTTCCCAGGATCAGAGTTGCTCGAACTCTGGTGGCTTCGGACCAGAGTTGCTCCAACTCTGGTGGCTTCGCACCAGAGTTGCTCCAACTCTGGTGGCTTCGCATCAGAGTTGCTCCAACTCTGGTGGAGGTATTCTGATTGCGCACCAGAACTGCTTCAACTCTGATTGGCGATCAAATCCCGAAACGGAGAAGAAAACCCGCGGCTCGTGTGCGCGGGCGACCTGCGGACACGAATGTCGTCCGAAAACCTATCACTCAAAGATACGGTCTAATTTTTGTTTCTTCCCGTAACGTTTTATTTTTCCCAGGATCAGAGTTGCTCGAACTCTGGTGGCTTCGGATCAGAGTTGCTCGAACTCTGGTGGCTTCGGACCAGAGTTGCTCCAACTCTGGTGGCTTCGCATCAGAGTTGCTCCAACTCTGGTGGAGGTCTTCTGGTAGCATCAGAACTGCTCCAACTCTGGTGGAGGTATTCTGATTGCGCACCAGAACTGCTCCAACTCTGATGGGGGTATTCTGATCGCGCACCAGAACTGCTCCAAGCCGTTACAACCATTAAATGCCCAACATTCTTGTCTTTTAATGCAACGTTAAATGGACAGTTTATGGATGATTCAATGCCTAACGGACTGCTCATTGAAGTCCAACGTTCAGGTCCATTAACACCCCATTTAACACACAACAAATCCTCCTATAAATAGCTGGCAGGTGCTTTGCAACATACAACGCACAATACATTCCTCACGAATTTCTTGAGCTAAAATCACCTAAAGCTACTCATCAAACTTCCTTCTGTGTTCATACTTGGTTCTCGTTTGCTGGAACTCTTGTTTGTGTGCTCAAACATTAGTTCGTAGTCATCGTATCCTGGGAAACGATTGTTGCAACGCTCCTAGCACCGTGGGAGGCAACAAATACGTTTTAAAGAAATCGTGCGTAGCACGAGCTTTGACTAATTCTTCTTCATCTCCTTTCCTGTTTTTCTTTAGTCATTTTATTTAATTAATTAATTTTAATTAATTTTCTTTATTTTCCGAAACACACCCAACAAGGGGTTCACCCATGTGAACAAAGAAAAAACGTCCCTCCCATTTTTCAGGAGGAGAATGATTGTCAGTAAACAACTGCCGCGTATGACGGGCGACCAGTCGTAGGTATCCGGTAGTCCAGTACGGCTGATAGCTATGGACCTATGGTGATAGAGCAGATCAACATTCCACAGATTGTAGTCACTAAAAGTTATTGAGTCACTTTTTGTCCAACATGCTAATCCTAGTCATATATTAGAAATTATTTCTAAGTAATATATATTTATCTATTTATATATATTTATATATAAGAAAACAAATAGCTTCTTAAATGACAATTTTGACCTTAATGAAACTTATGTGTCACTCTATCCTTAATTCACTCATTTCTTATTAAAATGACACGTGGCCAATTTCCTCCCCTTCAAATTAAATGTGCCGAAACACCCGAGGGAATGAAGGGAGAGAAGATGTAATTAGTGGAGTCCAATTAATAAAATACCCCTATTTTCTTTAAAGAGTTATAACTTTTTTATTTTTGCTCCAATTTTTACAAAAAGTACATCAAAATTCATAATTTTTTGTGATCTTTCATATGAGACCAATATTGAATATATAAAATTTAAATTATTGAACAACCTCTATTAATATTTTTAAAATTATCTATATTTATATATACCAAAGGAGTACACTATTAAAAATACCACCTTACCCCAATTATTATGCAATGTGACTACCTACCAATGTTATAGAGCATTGTTCTACTCATGTAGTGCTTTTAAGTAAGAAGTATAAGATAAAATAAGATAAGCCAACTAAAAATTGAGCGCCATAATTTTCTCTCTCACGTATAATGCTTTCTATTTATCTATTTATATATAAGAAAACAAATAGCTCCTTAAATGACAATTTTGACCTTAATGAAACTTATGTGTCATTAGTGGAGTCCAATTAATAAAATACCCCTACTTTCTTTAAAGAGTTATAACTTTATTATTTTTGCTCCAATTTTTACAAAAAGTACATCAAAATTCACAATTTTTTGTGATCTTTCATATGAGACCAATATTGAATATATAAAATTTAAATTATTGAACAACCTCTATTAATATTTTTAAAATTATCTATATTTATATATACCAAAGGAGTACACTATTAAAAATACCATTTTACCCCAATTATTATGCAACGTGACTACCCCAATTAAATGTAATCCTTTGCTAACATTGGAGCGGGGAAATTCTCATATAAGTAGTTCTTTTAAGTATAAGATAAGTCGGATAACAATTGAGCCGCAACGTTTTATCTCTCATACGTAATGTTTGCAGGTATAAGTTAATCCAGCTAACAACTGAGTGGAAAATTTTATCTTACATGTAATTCTTTTTTGTATATGACTAGCTAACAATTCAGCGGAAAATTTTTCACTCCCATATGTAGTGCTTTTACGATAATAACATAAGTCGGCTAACAATTGAACAAGAGAATTTTCTCTCTCATATGTAGTGTTTCTAGATATAACAAGAAAAGTTTGCTAATAATTAAGCGGGAGGTTTTCTCTGTCATATGTAGTCTCTTATGTATTAGAAGATAAACTTGCTAACAATTGAGAAGATAAATTATCATGTAAGTAGTTGTTTTAAGTATAAGATAAGCCGGCTAACAATTAAGCAGTATAGTTTTGTCTCTCATACGTAGTACTTTTAGATATAAGTTAATCCGGCTAGCAATTGAGTGAAAAATTCTTTCATATGTAGCTCTTTTTTTGTATAAGACTAGCTAACAATTGAGCGGGAAATTTCTCTCTCATATGTAGTGCTTTTAGATACAACATAAGCTGACTAACAATTGAACAAGAGAATATTCTTTGTCATATTTAGTGTTTTTTAAATATAACAAGATAAGTTTGCTAATAATTGAGTTCTTTATGTAGTCTTTTATATATTAGAAGATAAACTTGCTAACAATTTAGTAGAGAAATTATCATATATGTAGTTCTTTCAAGTACTACCTCCGTCCCGTTGGAAGGTTCCCATAGCAAAACGGCACGATTATTTAGACAATAATTAAATAAAGTACTTCGAGTATATTTTGAGAAATAATTTTAATAGGTATATATTATAATGTAGTTGATATTGATAATTGTGATGTTATAAATGTATTGTTTTTTATATTTAATGATTAATTTGTCACTTAAGATTGTTAATTGTTTCCAAAAATGGAAATGAGAAACTTTATATGGAATGTCCAAAAAGGGAAGTGGGAACCTTCTAATGGGACGGAGTATAAGATAAGTCTACTAACAATTAAACAATAAAGTTTTGTCTCTCATACGTAGTGCATTTAGGTATAAGTTAATCCGGCTAACGATAGAGTGGAATATTTTCTCTTATATGTAGTTTTTTTTGTATAAGACACGTTGAGTAAGAATTGAAATGATAATTTCAATTCCTTTCTCATATGCTAACACTAATTTAACTAATGAGTAGCAAGTTACTATTTAACTAATACGTACTATTAATTAATTTCAATCATTATTGTATTCACTTTTTTACAATAGTATTAAATTTTAAAATTAATAAATCATAAAAATTAATAAGTCCAAATTCTAATGAGTGGTGTTAATTAATTTTTCCTATATACTCTTCATAGAACATTTAGTGTATGGGCTTATACTTTATGATATTAGATTATTGTATTCTTATTTTTCGAAAATGTAAAATCCTATAAAGTTATTTTTATTTTAATATTTAATTATATAAGAAGTAAAAATATATGCACTTACTGCTTTTTCCCATGCGTATGCACGGGTACTATACTAGTATATAAGAAAAGAAATAATTGTGCCAAATACCATTTTGCCCCTCCAAATGCTTACATGTTGCTCATTCCACTTTTCTCTACTTTCTTATTGTGATGCCACATGGCCTTATAATCTCTTAAGGGAAATGGAGTTGGTGGTCCCATGTTGTAAAACCTCTCAAATTTCTTAAAAGTGTTATAACTTTTTCATTTTTGCTCCAATGGTTCTAAAAAATATATCAAAATTCATAATTTTTTATGATCTTTCTAATGAGATCAATATTGAATATATAAAAATATAATTTACTAATGGCCTCAATAATCATGCTTAAAATTATTTATATTTATATACACCAATATTGTATATATAATTTTTTAAAAAAATATGAAGGTTTATCAAATCTTCATATTTTCATTTACCTTTTTCTAATTGAATCACAATCTCACATTTTCACTTTATTCGTACTTTCTTAAACTCTGGTCCAAGTCAAATCGAAAAGATTTTTATGGGACAGAGGTGGTATTATTATTTCTGACGAACCAAATCACCCTCGATAGTAAAGAGAATGAGATTTTTTTTTGAAATACAGAATGAGAATCCTTGAAAAATCACATTTAATAGAAAATATAAATATATTTGAATTTAGTTATTATTGCAAACTTTCAATTTTGTACACACAAACGACGAGATAGACTTACGAATTGAAAGAGTTTAAGAAGATTCCTAATCTAGCGTCTGGAAGAATATTTGAACAAAAAATGCACATCTCTTACTTTATAACGGGCCATGAAAGAGTTAAAATGAAAAATGAGCATATAAGCATTTTTGTATATAAGCATATCATTTTCATATTATTAATACTTTCTCTATATAAACATATAATTGGTCAAAGTTAGACTCCATTGACTTGAAAAGTCAAGATTGGCCAAGTAAAATGGGACGGAGGGAGTATTATATATAGTGCTTTTAGGTGTAAGATACGTCGTCTAACAATTGAGATTAGGTCATAGTTATAGATTAATTCTTTACTTAATACGAGATGATTGATATCGTTGTTGAAAAATAGGAAGTTGTTTGATAAATCTTCAAAAAAAATGCAAAATTACTGTCATATGAAACGTCACAAGAATTATGAATTTTAATATATTTTGTTAATATAAAAATGCTTATATGCTTATTTTTCATTTAAAATTATGTGTTGTTTGGTGACTCTGTTTTTGTATTTATCAATCTTATCAGTCAATTTTAATATTGAGAACTTAATTGTGTAATGATCAAAATAAGAAAGGTTGAAGTTAATTTTTTGGCTGAATTGAATGAAGTTATTATAAACGAAAATTTTAGATACTTTTTCAGACAAATGTTTATTTACTTTATCAATAAAATATATTTAAATTTAATTTTCCCATAATTGAGTATATTCATCCAGTTCAGCGGTTTCAGCAAGAATTTTATCAATTTCAATAGATTCATCCATTTTATGTGTTACGAAACAACTCTAAATGACATTCTAAATGAAAAAAGATGTTCAACATATGATAGTATTGTCAATGTAAAATAGATCAATGATTTTAAAATGCCACGTGATGTGATGAATTTGCTCAAATGAGAGTCATATGAGATATTAGCAGTGAGAAATATAAAGTCATACAATTGGCGGGGTCCAAGATATAAGAACCCCAATTTCTTCATCATAGCGTTATAACTTTTAAATATTTGTTGTAATTTCTACAAAACATATATCAAAATTCCTAACTTTTTATGATTTTTCATATGAGAACAATATTGCATATAGAAAATTTAAAAAAAAAATTTGAAAGTGTATTAAATAAAAAAAAATTGAAAGTGTATTAAGTAACCTGTTAATTTTCCAACCTCGATACAGGCTATTCCTTATTAATTAAAGAAATAATTCCCAATATATGACTAAAATAAGGATATTGACTAAAAGTATGGCTTATTAATTTTTAGCTACTATAATTATGTTTAAAATTATATCAAAGTCACTATAAAAGTTCATAGACAATTTAATTTTTTTATTTACAAATATCTATATATTGGAGAGGTTCTTCCTTATAGTTACTTTTATACGGAGTATAAAACTAAAATATATTTGTTTTTTGCTAGAAAACGCTTATATTAAATTCAAAAATCTAACAACTAAACATCCTATATTCTGTCTACCCAAACATTTCCTCTAGACTCCTTATATAAAACAGGCAACCTCACTCTCTGATTAGACATAGAATAGACTGCCCAATAATGAGCAAGACTAATCGCTGACCATGCGAGAGATTCACATTAAAGCTATTATCGACCAAATTAGCCTGCTTGCTTCCTCCCAAACTAAAAACTAAAGCCACAAAACAGAATTTTCTCTCTCATATGTAGTGCTTTTAGGTATTTGAAGATAAGTTTGCTAACATTTAGTGACTATAATAATAAAAAAAAAAACTAGCCCTTATATAATACAAAAAAGCTTATATGCTCATTTTTTATTTGAAATTATGTAGTACTTTTAGTTAAAAAATAAGCCGACTAAGAATTGATCGGGAGAATTTTATCTCCAATATATAGTGGCTTTAGGTAAAAGAAGATAAGCTTTCTAATAAATGAGCGGAAGAATCTTCTCTCTAATATATAGTGTTTCTAGGCATATACGGTACGAGTAGGGTTGGATTCGGTTCGGGCCACCCGGCCCGTGACCCGGCCCGGCCCGGTACTGTGCGGGCCCGGGACCGGCCCGGTCGAGCGGTCCGGGACCGGGTATGGACCCGAACCGGTGGGAAGGGGCGGGGCGGGCTCGGTGCTGGATTATTGTGACCCGGCCTGGCCGGGTCGGGCCCGGGTCTAATTTTTTTTTTTTTTTGGTTTGGGCTACTAGCCGTTGGGGGTGGGGCTGGGGACAACCCAAACGGCTATATAGCCGTTGGGTGGGGTAAATAAAGGGGGGGTCTGGGGGGGTTGGCTGGTGGTGGGGGGTGGTTGGGTGGTAAAAAAACCTATAAATACTCCTAATCTTAAACATTTTTTCATATTTCTTCTCCAATTCTTCCTAAATCCTATTCTTAACTCTCTACTCTCTAATTCTCTTATTCTCCAATATATTATATTTATTATTTATATATCTACTTTATAGTTTATACTTAAGAAGTTAAGATGGAAAATCAAGATGCCATTATACGGTATAATTTTGATAAGCAGAAGGATCCGAAGACCGGGATGTGGTACGCAATTTGCAAATGGTGCGAGAAAAAATGTAGCATGGGGGTTTCTGGCGGATTCAGAATGGCAATCAAGCATATGAAGTCATGTGACAAAGCCAAAGGATCGGGAGGTGCGGGAAGTTCCGATTGATTACAATTTTCAAAATGTTTATCTGTTAAAGTTTGTTTTAATTTTCAAATGTAGTTCCTATTTCATTTCAAATAAATGCAGTTGAAGTTTGTTTTTAATACTCGTATAAAACTATAAACTATAAAATATAAATTATATATATAAAAAAATTTTAACCGGCCCGGCCCGAACCGGACCCGACCCGTGACCCGGACGGGTGGCCCAGCCCGGACCGGACCCGTCCAACCCTCGGACCGGTCCCGGGCCCATGTCATACTACCCGGCGGCCCGATCGGGCCTAGGTCCGGCCCACGCCCGACCCGGCTCGAGTCCATCAATCGGTATGAGAAGATAATCTTGCTAACAATTGAGCAGAGAAATTGAGCGAGAAACTTTTCTCTCATATATAGTGCTTTTAGGTATTGGACGGGAAAACTCTCTCATATGTAGTTCTTTTAAGGATACGATAAGCCGGCTAACAATTAAGCAGAAAATTTTTGTCTCTCATATGTAGTGATTTTATGTATAATAAAATAAGCTTGCTAATAATTGAGCGGATGAATTTTCTCTCTCACATGTAGTGCTTCAATGTATCAGAAGATAAGCTTGCTAACAATTGAGCAGATAAATTGAGCGGGAAAATTTTCTCTCTCATATGTAATGCTTTTAGTTATTATTAGAAGATAATTTTGCTAATAATTGTGCGGGAAAACTCTCTCTCTCTCTCACTCTCATATGTAGTGTTGTTAAGTATAAGATTAGAAGATAAATTTGCTAATAATTGAGCGGGAAATCTCTCTCTCTCTCTCTCGTATGTAGTGCTTTTAAGTATAAGATAAGATAATTGAGCGGGAAAAATCTCTCTCTCTCTCATATGTAATGCTTTTAAGTATAAAATAAAATAAGCTGACTAACAATTGAGCGTGAGAACTTTATGTCTCATATGTAGTGGTTCTGAGTAACAGAAAATAAGCTTCCTAATGATTGAGCGGGAGAATTTCCTCTCTCACATGTAGTGCTTCTACATATTACAATATAAGTTTGCTAACAATTGAGCGAGGAAGTTGAACAAGATAATTTTGTCTCTCTAGATATACGAAGATAAGAAGATAAGTTTGCTAAGAATTGAGCGGAAAAACTTTCTTTCTCATATGTAGTTCTTTTAAGCTAGGAAGCACGGAAACGCCTATCTCCTTCAAGTTTCCGTCCCGGAAACGTTTCGAAAACGGGAAACGAAGGGAAACGCTGGGGAAACGTCGGGAAAGGCCAGGAAACGTTTCTAGGCTATTGGGCTTTTGGGCCGGGTTGGGAAACGTTTCCGATACGTTTTTTTAATTCATTATATGCGTTTCTTTCTGAATCTGAAGGATACCATTCCTGCTGTGCCGCACTCTATCCGCAAACGAACGTCGTCCGCAATCCTTCTGCAATCCTTCTGCACGACTCCCCAGTCCCGCACTCGAAAACGAAGGCTTGAAGAGTTGCGACTCCCCTGTCCCCAGTCGACTCGAACAACAAAGTCAGACAGTCTGCATCGGACTTGAACGATTGAAGAGTTGAAGCTGCCAGCGACGAACCCTTGTGAAAGACACAAAGGCTCTGGTGTTGCATTGAAGGCTTGAAGAACAGGATATCCCTTGCCGCTTATTTGTGAGGCGGTAAGCTTTAAATTAATTGCTGCCAGAGTATTAAATTGCTGTCACAATAAGTGATTCATCTTTTTAATCTTGAAATATGGGAAGCATTGAAGTTAGTGGGTCTTCTAGTGATGCTGGCAGTGGGTCAGGTTCTTCGGTAGGGATTGATAATACACCGTAACATTACTTATACTAGTAAAAATTAATTTTTAGTTCGATGTTTCCTTTGCCGTATCTTGATATTTTGAGTTTAGATTTTCCCCGTCCCCGTTTCCGTCCCCGTTTCCGTTTCCGTCCGGGTGCTACTTAGCTTTTAAGTATAACACTCCAACTAACAATTGAGCAATAGAATTTTCTCTCCCATATGTACCGCTTTTAGGTATAAGTAGATATGTAAGCTAACAATTGAACGGGATAGTTCTCTCTCATATGTGGTGCTTTTAGATATAAGAAGATAATCTTGCTAATTATTAAGCGAGAAATATTTATATATTAATTTGTAATTAGATCATGAGTACAAATATATGCACCAACTGCTCTTTCCCGTGCGTATACACGGGTACTTAGTATATTATATTGGTTATATATTAGAGGTAATTGTTCCATGTTCCCGTTTTCCACTTTTTTTCTCACCCCTAAATTATCCGCCACAAGGCCTATACAAGACCCACTCACCAACCTTGAAGATCATTGCAGCAGAAGATCTTGGCGATTTTGAAAAGGTTGTTTCTCTTGAACACAGTATAAGAAAAAGGTGTTATTTATCATTTTTTTTCTATTTTGAGTATCTTTTGCACTCTATTAAAATCTTTGTGGTGAATTTGGCACAAAGATTGCAAAAGTAATATTATAATGTTATGTCATTGAAATTATTTTGGAGAAAATCTTTTTATACTGTATGAGCCCAGGCTGCCCAGCTTAGGCACATCATATGTATGTTCTTTGATGATAGGAACACGGACAATAATACTAAAAAAGTAAAAAGAATAATAGAATAGTACTCCGTATTAGAGTGTGATAGTATATAAATGAGGGTTCTGGGTCATGTAAATTAGGAATGATGGCCTGGCCCTTAAAAGAAAACAGAATTACTATACGAGTAGGGAAGGAGGGAAAAGAGGGCAGGCTGTTAGACAGTTAGAACTTGGAGAGCTCTGGCACTCTTGAATTTGCCTAGAATTGTTCATCTCTGTAATTTCTTTCTTGCCTATACGTTGATAATAAAATTCCAGTTTTCTTGATTCCATTCTATTGTAAAAATTCTAGATATTCTGTGTGTTCTATCATTTGACTGCAGGTCTTCTCTGTAATTCATGACTACTAGCCCTAATATTAAGTAATCTAGTTATTTTAATATTAATTTTCCAGGAAGATTAGTAGTACTCAATGCATGAATCTTTTTGCAAATTGCAAACCAACCCTTACATTGTCAATTTTGGTTTTATTATATAATAAAAGCACCACATGCAGAAAAAAACATTTTTTGTCCATAAAGTTGGTGATGTTTTAATCACTTATTTTTCAATCATCTAAGCTGTAACTCGCACCTCATCTGTACTAAAAAAGCTCTTTAATATGCTCTTTAAATAATTTCAGTTTAATTTATAAAGTCATGGTTTTCATACTCAAATACAAAAAGGTAACCGTTCTTCCGTCAATTTAAAGTTTTGTAGCTAGCAGATTGAAAGAATGACATGCACACCTATGAAGCCACAAAATTGGGGATAGAAGATGCGAAGAGCCCAGTGAACAAATCCATAAGATCATAATCAATCTCTCTTCCAAGAATGTCAACAATATCATGAAAGTTTGAGGTGATTTGGTTCCAAACCTCGGTCAGGATCTAGGGATATAGTGTCTTAAAGAACATCATGTAAGTGTTCTTTGTGTTTGAATTATTAATTTGAGAACTTGCATTTAATTTCAAGTAGTCAGAATCTCTTATCACATCCTGACCTGCAGAATACTCCCTTATGGAGAGACTTGTGAGTGTGCTTATACTATGATCTAAACAAGAAATTGTCCTCCCTTTTCAAAACGTGGATTACATCTTTCTGCTTTTGTTCACATTTCGAGAGAACCATATATAACATTGTTTTCACTCGATGCACAATAGTTTTCTTTTGATTTTCCTTCTAAGGATAAATGAGAGAGGTAGTGTTCATGAAAGCTGGGATGATGTAGATGCGTATGATAATCAGTTAGCTTCCTTGGTAAATTATTTTATGTTATTGTTGATCATCGTTTATTAAGGTAACCTTAACTGTCATCTTTTATAATACAAATTCAAACTTTTAATAGTGTATCATAAAAGAACTGATCATAGTTGTCGAATCATGAATATTTTAGTGTGGAACAGTTTTGGATTTTCGGGTACTGTGCCCTGTATTTCCTTAAAAATAATCTACATCAATTCCATTGTTTGAAATTTGAATGGATTATTAGTTCTGATGCTGAATTGGTGTGCAGCACCAATTGGAATCTTTACAAGTTAATATAGATTTTTAAAAGAATTGCTTTAGAAAACTTAGTTTCACTTTACTTTATTATCTTACAGCTTCCGAATTTGAAATGAAGTGTGCTATGTGCTTCATGTGACACTCATTTTTTATTTTAAAGATCAGTTAGAATTGAAGATAAATTAAAGTTGCTTGAAGACCAAAACCCACTGACGTTATTTTTTTCATTAAACAAGCAAAACAGCTCAAATCTAACTTTTCCTCCGTCTATCTTGACTCTAGCAAACCAATAGCCAACCCCACAACACAACCCCTTTCTGATACCTCTTTACCTTAGATCCTTATCTTGACATTTCCTGACAACATTTTTTCTAATGAATTTAATACTTCGTATTTAAAGCTTTATTTGCATCATCTTGTTTTTTAGCACACCTAACATCAGAATTTCACGGGATCAAAGGTTTTAAGATTACCACAGTTTTCAGCATATTCATCTCATCCAAGAATGTGTAGGAGATTCAGCATTGAACAACTCATGTTCCTCCCTTCAATTTCTCCACTATACTTATTAGATTTCCCTCTTTAAAGCTTTAAGCCTAAAGAGCCTGTAGAGTCGTGTCTTGCAACTCCTCATTAACCATGCTATAAAGTTTTTGACAAGGAAACATTCTTCTCTATTTCTTTACCATGAATGTTCGATCATGTAAGGATCAGATCTTACTAATCTTGCCCAGAGTTATGTTGTTTTAAAAGGAAACATTCTTTTTCAGATTTTCTCACACTTTTGACCTCTACAAACTAATTTTGCTACAAATTAGAGAACTGGCAACCATGATCAGCCCCATGGCTTTCTTTGGAAAGAGATACCGTTTTCTCACAAATAAGCTTTGCAATTCTTATAATCTAATCTTATTTCCTTTTTCTTTAGTGTCTTCAATTTGATTGCTTGATGTCATGTTCATTTCTTCAAATGATTTTCTTTCATGCCTTACCCCACCGTAGGTGGGAGCCTTTGCGGCACTGAGGTAAATGAAAATAATATGGTTTCGTACTCTATAAATAATGATAGACATTCGACATTTTTATTAAGGCTTGACGCTCCGTCCTAAAGGTCATCCTTATAGGAGGATTAACCCAAGACTTTATATGTTGGTTTGTATTTCTATACGCAATATGTGTGAGACAGTTTAATACGCCCCACAAGATGCTGAACCGTTGGAGCAAACCACTCTTATAGTTTCTGTGCCTGTTGTTGACGCTTACTATGATCCAATTGCTTATTGGATCATAGGAGGAATATGCCAAAGCTTTATATGTTGATTTGTATTTTTATATGCAATTGTTGTAGAACAATTTCATAATTTTGTGTGAAAAAATAACTACCCCTAATTGCTCCTCCCTATTTGTTTCTGTTTCATTACACACCCACAGCAAGTCGTGTATTTGCTGAGGTCCCTAAGATTTATCGCTGCAAATAATAATTATTTCTCTCTTCTTTCCTTTTTGTTACGATTTTTAGGAATGAACAATAAATGGGTCAGAGATTTAGGTAATCCTGTGAATTGTTTTCTTTTTGGGTATTTTAACAAATACTGTCCGGTATCTTTCTTAAGAATTGGAGATCAAGACTCCCACCAACAATTAACCGGGGATTTTGCTTCTGCAATGGATTATTTGAGTACCGAAGTTTCGAAGTCCATGGAGACTGATCCCATTATTCACCTTTCTGTGCCTAATTCTCAGGATGCTGCGACCAAGGATTCATGGAGTGAGTACTCGTCATTGATATTATATGATATATCATGGATTTCTATGATTCTTATATCTTAAAGAATAATGTCTTGTGCACATTAATTTCTTTTTCACAGTTTTGAAAATGTCCCAGTTTTTCTGTTTGTATCCTTTTTATCTTGACCATTGAGTATGTGTAACTAGCTCGTTATTCCTTTAAACTTTGTAGATGATGAAGATGACGGTTTTCCGCTGGATAAACTATCTTTAGCATTAACCATGTTGCATAAACTTCCCGTTCCTAAAACAGAGTGAGTTATTTTTTATTTAGAACTTGACTATGCAAGCATCTTTTTATAGGATCTTAGTAGTTAATATTTTATTTTATTGTTTATGGACATAGATACACTCATTAAATCCAAATTTAGTACTATTCTTAGGTGTAATTCATGTTTGCATAGATCTTGTGATAATTGTAATATGGTTCTACCATACACACTTGTATTGAGAAAGGGGAGTTTAGTCAGGTAGTTCATTTGTTCCTAAATTAGGGGGGGGGGGGGGGGGGAATTAACCGAATATTCAGATGGAAGGTTACTTTCTCCCCATCTTCCGCCATTTTCTTTCCCGTATGTTTTCCCACTTATCCATTTTTTTAAGTTCTATCCTTTCTTTACATTTCCCCTGGCTTTCTACTGATCCATAAACCACTTTGTTTTTCTCTCATTTAGCATATGCCAGCGGGATTTGGGACATCGGGTGATATTATAATGTTGTTCATATTTTCTGTGCACTTTGTTTTTCGTGTATGTTGTACAAGGAGGAAGATGAATCTTTTTTTGGTATGTCCGTATGGAGAGATAAAAACAATTGCTATAGAGAATGACAATAGTTTTATTTTATATAAAAATGGGCTTGTCTTTTACATTTTGTGCCTTTTATGACTAGCTTTCTGCTACATTCTGTGGTCTCTCTTTCTCTTTCACAGGAAAAGAACACATGTAGTTCTCGTGTCTACTGGCAGTTTCAACCCTCCTACTTATATGCATCTGCGTTGTTTTGGTAAATGATTTCCCGACCTTGGTCGTTTTCTAGCTTATTGCTGTCTATGCAAGGTGGAGATTCTCCCTTGCCCGATTATTTTCTGCCCTCGCCCTTTAATTTTCACTAGATGATGATTTTTTATTTTGCTGTTGTCTACTTAACAAAAAAAGAAATAGAAAAATCTTCCATGTGATATTACAATTTCAGTTGTTCTCTCTAAATGTATACTAATTTAATATTTTTTATGCTCAGAGCTGGCAAGAGACACATTAATTTCACAAGGATTTTGTGTCATTGGAGGTTACATGTCACCCGTGAATGATGCGTATAAGAAGAAGGTAAATATAAGCATGCAACTAGGCTTTCTTTCATTTCTCTCTCTCTTTCATTCCTTCTTCCCGTTCTCACACACCATTCCCGTTCGCACACACCATTCCCGGTCGCACACACCAGTTCTTTCAATGGGAGGATTTCAATTTTTGCCCACAGCCAAGGACTGGCCGCCACATCCGGGGACTGCTATGACCATCTCCAAGGGTTACGGCCGCCATCAGAGTCGGAGTTCGTGTGCCATAGCCGGATTTTTGAAGGCCGCCGGGTTGCCGGCTAAGTGCCTACGTGGAGTAAAGGACGGTAGCTAACTCAGTGAAGGGGTGGCGGCTGAGTGAAGTGATGTCCGCCAGTTAATTGCAGCGGGCCAGTGGAGTCAGTCAGCTAAGGGATTTTGCCGGCGACGGTGCACAGGTCAGGTCAAAGGCTGGCAGTGACAGCGGGGCAGATGTGGTGGCCGCCGGTTGGGCGGTGGCGCAGGGCAGTGAGTTCAGTGTCCAGCAGCACAAGGGCGGTGGCCGGTAGTCCTGCTGAGAAAACTCTACGGGAGCTGCGCTGAAGAGAAGAAAGAAAGAGGAAAGGAGAAGAGAAAAAGAAAGGACAAAAAGAGGAAAAAGAAAAAGAAAGGCAAAAAAGGAAAAGAAAAAGAAATCCACCTGGGCCGCCACATAGACCTTTAACCGGAAACCTGAAGCTTACCTGCTAAAATGCTAAATTGATTGATTTTAAGAGTTCGAGAGTTCAATTGGGTGTTTTTGAAGTACGAGGGCCTAATTGCCATTTTTGCTATTGTACGGGCCACTATGGGGGCCTATTTGATAGTTTTCCCAAGATAATTCGCATGAGCCATTTTTTCGAAGTCAAAGTGTCTGCTTTGATCTCTTATGTGGTTTTCGGAAAAGGAAATGCTTGTCAATGAGTCAATCATTACCACCGTCAAATCAAATTGTTAGTATTAATTAACCGTATAAAGTTAACCACTATAATTTCATGCCAGAAAAGCAGAGTCAATGTTCACACCAGATGCCCTTAATGTCACAACCTTCATATTGCCAAAACCAATATGCAAATCATGGAACATAACATAAAAAGAAATGATTGTTCAAAGCTGTTTCTTTTTATTCTTGGTGTATATTACAAATTAGGGTGGTGTCGTAGTGTGTCCATATTTGTTTTAGTAGGCGCATTATAAATGCAGATATAGATTATAATACTATAGTAATTTAGTATCTTTATTTTAAAGATCATTCATTTTCATCATTTTCATTTCATTTTCATTTACCCCAGTGCCGCAAAGGCTCCCACCTACGGTGGGGTAAGGGGGGGTCGGATGTACGCAGTCTTACCCCTGTACTAAAGCACAGAGAGACTGTTTCCGGATGACCCATAGTGAAAATCCCGTCCAAAATTGCATGGACTGACTGTTGCTTCATAACAAAGAAGCGCAGACAGTTTAGTGAGCCATTTTGCTTTATTCCATCATAATCTCAAGCCAAAAAAAATCTTTTAAAGATATACTATGAAATTGAAGGTCCCTTGTGCATCACTACTCACTAGCCTTTACTTAGGTGTACTCGGAGATTTTTTTCTCTGCACACTTTCCACATCTTTATGTCTGATGGGTGTTATCAAATGAATCAAATAACTGATTTTTTTTCCCCATCATTTTCAAAAGGGTCTTATATCTGCCAAGCATCGAATTGCAATGTGTTGTCTGGCTTGTAAGAGCTCCGAGTTTGTAATGGTGGATCAGTGGGAGGTGTGTGCAAACCTCTCTCTTTCTACCCAAAAAAAGTCTTCACTCTATACAGAATAATATCGCTTTGTGTTTTAGTTACTTTTATTGTTCATATCTTCGAGCTAAGTCCTAGGGGAGCATAATGAGACAAGAGTGGTTTTACAGGCACGTCAGAATACCTATCAGCACACATTGACAGTTTTGTCTAGAATCAAGGTCTCATTACTGAACAGTGGATTGCTATCAGGTAGGACCGTGGCATTATGGTGAGTTGATGAGCATAGAATAACCCGATGTGTGACTAATTTATCATGTTTAAATTTATTTTTTAAAAACTAATAAAGTGGAGAACTCAATTTTAAACTTGTAAATGAGAAAACTTGATAATAAAACCTGGTTTGATCCATTGTCCATCCATTCACTTCTCTGGTCCGGTTTGGCGGAATGCATGTATTAATGTCCTGCATTGAATGTTTACAGAGTTTAAGTGTAACATATGAGTATGCCTCACCTTTTGAATTTTTTGGGGATGTGCTAGGATCAATTCAACCACCACCATTCTCACGATTACTAATTTCGTTTTTATCCTCATCATCATCAGGCTACTACTGATCGACCTTATTGTCGTATGCAGATTCCCTCAAGGTTATGCTCGTATGTGGCTCAGATTTGCTAAAATCTTTTAGCACTCCAGGAGTTTGGATACCAGAGCATGTAATTTTCATCTTGACACATGAAGCATAAGCAATACCAGACAAAAGAACATAAAATTTATCTATTAGCTTTTCAGGTCAGGACAATATGTAGAGACTTCGGATTGGTTTGTGTTCGAAGAGATAGTCAGGATGTTGATAGGATTATTACTGATGATGACATCTTAAGTGCGTACAAGGTATGGTTTTGTTATGTGCTTTTAAAGCTGCACTCAGTAAGTGGTTCATTTATGGGCACTTTAACGATATTCTTTTTTAACTGCAACCTATAATGGGTGTGAAATTTTGCTTGTGAAGTGTTTTGCAGTTTATATATGGTTCCTATCAATACTGTCATTCAATTAAGTCTTAAAAAAATCAACATGTTGAAGTGAGAAGGAAAAGAAAATTAAAATAGCCTCCATTCCATTTAGCCGTAATCCATGTTTTGTGGTGAGTAAACACCCAAAAAAAGGGCAGCCCGGTGCACGAAGGCATCCCCACAAGGCGAGTGTCCGGGGAAGGGTCCCACGGTCCCACCATAAGGGTGTATAAGGGACAAGCTTTCCCCTGTCAAACATTGACTAGATGCTGCTCTCAAGACTTGAACAGCTTGAACACATGAGCTCTTGGACACACAACAACACTTGATCGGTGCGTCAAGGCTCCCCTTCTAGCATTACTTGATCACCCTAAGGATTTAATTGGATGGAGGGTTTTTGGAGCATTCTGAAGGGAAGACTATGGAGGCCTTAGTCTATACTCCCCCGTCCCACAAAATAGTTCCCGGTTTGGCTTGGATCAAAGTATAAGAAGTGGGAATAAAGTAAAAATGTATGGTTGTGATTGAGTAAGAAAAAAGTAAATGAATGTTAGCCACACAAAACTTTCCAAAAAGGGAAATGGGGACAATTTTTTGAGACGACCCAAAAAGGAAAGTGAAAACTATTTTGCAGGGCAAAGGGAGTATCTTAATATTGAGTATATATTTGATTGTTTATTAAAATTGAAAGGATCACATGACATGTGGTTGTATAACATGTCTATCGCCTTTTATTTGTTCTAGGAACGTTCTGTTTATCAAGTCTTCCCTTTCAAAACCTTATGTCCAAACAGACCTTGTGAGGTTCACATAAGCTGCATTAAAAGTGTCCAAAGACAGAAAATAATAAAAAATACGTAGAGGTCAAGAGAAGTTAAGCAGCTAGATGGGTGTAGGCTGAACATTTTTTAGCCGCGCATGATTGAATTTATACTATTTTGCAGGCCAATATCAAAATCGTAGATGAGGTAGTGCCGAACGGTGTCAGTTCAACTGGATTGAGGTAAAGCTAATTTGGCATCTCTAGCTATTTTTCCTGGATACGGCAGACTAGCTAACATCTTCCTTTTCATCTGTTTTTTGTGTGTGTTTTAAATGTCAGGGATTGCATCTTAAAGAGGTTGTCAATAAAATATTTGACTGCAGATGAGGTGATTGACTATATTGAGAAGCACAATCTCTACCATGTCCAAATTTGAGTTGATTGTTCTGGAAACTCACTCAGATGAGGGGTCTTGCTCTAATATTGCAGTGTGAGCTGGAGGAAAAACAATACTATTTCTGTTCCATATTATGGTTCCCATTCTCTAAATCTCCAATTTTATATACCAAATATTTATCATATTCAAAATTGGGTTTTGCTGTCTTGTAGAGCTTTAGTGTATTTGTAATACAAGCAAACGTCAGATACTAATAATAAAACGAATCCTCAGACAAGTCCCATAATTATGTTAAAACTAACATGGGCGGAAGGAATGTAATACAAGAGTTTACGTTGGAAACACAAATGCAAACAGAATTATTCATCATTCACTTAAGTAAATGAGTTATTTATGAACATTTCATATCCTTATGTGTTGCAAACTTGCAACCCCCAATACCTGATTTTGATTGAATTATGAATTTAACAACGTTTCTATCTTCCTGGTGACTTTTAGAATCTCAAGTAGTATTTCCTCATTGCCAGTTTGGTTTAGGGATGAGTTGAGCATTCGGTTGGTTGGTCCAAATATCTTACTAAAAATGCAACTTTAATGACCACTAAACAACCGGTGTTTGGCTCGGTTGGTGATTGAATAACTGACCATATAATTAGGGTTGGATTCGGTTCGGGCCACCCGGCCTGTGACCCGGCCCGGCCCGGTCGGGCGGTCCGGGACCGGGTATGCACCCGAACCGGTGGGAATGGGTGGGCTCGTTGCTGGATTAATGTGACCCGGCTGGGTCGGGCCCGGGCCCGGGTCCGGTCTTATTTTAAAAAAAAACATTTTTTTTTGTTTGGGCTCTTGGGCTACTAGCCATTGGGGGTGGGGGTGGGGCTGGGGACAACCCAAACGGTTATATAGCCGTTGGGTGGGGTAAAGGGGGGGTTGGCTGGTGGGTGGGGGGGGGGGGGGGGGGGGTAAAAACCTATACTTCTAATCTTAAACATTTTTTCATTTCTTCTCCAATTCTTCCTAAATCCTATTCTTAACTCTCTACTCTCTAATTCTCTTATTCTCCAATATATTATATTTATTATTTATATATCTACTTTATAGTTTATACTTAAGAAGTTAAGATGGAAAATCAAGATGCCATTATACGGTATAATTTTGATAAGCAGAAGGACTCGAAGACCGGGATGTGGTACGCAATTTGCAAATGGTGCGAGAAAAAATGTAGTATGGAGGTTTCAGGCGGATTCGGGATGGCAATCAAGCATATGAAGTCATGTGACAAAGCCAAAGGATCGGGAGGTGCGGGAAGTTTCGATTGATTACAATTTTCAAAATGTTTATCTCTTAAAGTTTGTTTTAATTTTCAAATGTAGTTCCTATTTCATTTCAAATAAATGCAATTGAAGTTTGTTTTTAATACTCGTATAAAACTATAAACTATAAAATATAAATTATATAAAAAAAAAATTAACCGGCCCGGCCCGAACCGGACCCGACCCGTGACCCGGACGGGTGGCCCGAACCGGACTCGTCCAACCCTCGGGCCGGTCCCGGGCCCATGTCATACTACCCGGCGGCCCGACCGGGCCTAGGCCCGGCCCGGGCCCGACCCGCCCCGAGTCCATCAATACATAAAATGAACATATTTGATCGCTATAGATTTACCGGATTGAATAACAAAATATTACGAAAATGATTGGGGATAGGGGTATTGGTATGTCATTGGCTTCACATATGCGTGTGGGACTACAGGTTATTCAGTGCTTCCACATTCTAATTGGTTTGGGATAGGCATGGACCCAGGTCGGTCAGGTCCCGATTCTGTGCCGAGACTGCCCGGTCCTTGCCAAATGGTAGTGAAGCTCGAGCTCGATCTGCTTCTTTAGGGTTCCTGGTACCTGACTTTGGTCTCAGTTCTTGTTAATTTCTTTTTTAATGGCCTAAAATAAAATAAAAATTAATGTTAGGACCGAAACCGAAGTCGGGACCACCTGATTTGGTTCCAACAGGTAATGCAGGACTGTGTACCCAAACCCATCGAACATGGTTGATTCTAAATCGGGTACCAAAAAATAGACCCGGTCCGGTCCCAAACAGTATTGGACCAATTCTGGACAAGGTCAGATCGTTGAACCGGGTGAATGTAGGGATGGACCGGTTCCAGGCCGGGCCGGGCTTGATCGGGCTTTTTTTTAGGGAACTGAGGCCCGAAATCGGCCAGGGTAGCCAGCGGTTTCGGGCCAGGCCGGTCCGATTCAATGTTAATTTTTTTCTTTTGCTTTTCTAATTAACCCCCGACCCCCCGACCCCCCAACCCCTCACCCCCACCTCCCAAACACCCAACCCAGCAGCCCTACCCGGGAAAAACAAAAAAAATTGAAAAAACAAAAAAAAAAGAAAAAAAGAAAAAGGCCCAAAGGTTCACTATATTTAAGGCCCGTACCCGCCCCGCCTCAATCCGATGGGCCTATGCTTGGCAACATCGTGATCGCCGCTCTAGTTTGATTTCTCTTATATTTTCTTTCTTGTTTGATTTTTCGTTAGACGTTGGTATTTTGGGATTGTTTCCAGAGTGATTTGATCCGGCTCGTTGTGGCCTAGAATTTTGTTGTTGTTTGTGTTTGGTTGGAGGCTGAGGTTTTTCCATGCTTCGGTTTCCACGTACTTAGTAGTGTGTTGTTTTGTTTGCTTTACCTTGTCTTTTCAATTGATAGCTCGTGTGTGGCGATCAAATACGTTCAAATCTAGGCTTGGAAATCCATACCAATGGGAGCTCGGGTTTTGCCAGACTTGGCAACATCATTTTGGACATGTTCTGTGTTGACTTGATAGACTTGGCCGACGAGTTCATAATTCCGGCGTGAAGATTTACACCAGAATTCTCAACTCGTCGGTCAATTCCATTAGGTCAACACTTCCAAAATGATGACGCCGAGCCCTACTATAATAGTATACTAGCCCTACACAGAAAGATCACATTTATAGTGATCATTAAGCTGATTGCTTCACCGAAGTATTTTTATTTGTTATATACAAATAAACACACAAATTATTTATAAAATGTTAAGTTTTAGATGAATATATAAGCGCATATGGAAAATGTAGGGGGCAATCTCATGCATGCCAATCCATCCAAATATGGTCAAAATAAAGATCCATGTGTGTGTGTGTTTTCTTGTTCTTATTTTTATTGACTAAAGAGCTTGTATTTGAGGGTGATTTTGGTCTACTTTCATGGACTTTTGCTTCTATCTTGTATCATTTGTTCTCAAGACTAGTAGTGATTTCCATTCTTACAAGTTCCAACAAACCAACACTTTTATTTCTGGTTTTATTTCTTTATATTTATTCCCCTCTTCGTATTTGAATACTTATATATAATACCTTCTCTCTTGAGAAACGTTTAAATACTAGCAGCATGTTCATTTTTATGAAACGTATTTTTCATCTAATCTTTCTTACTATATAGTATATATGTATATTTATCTCTTCTTTGGTTCTTTTTAATTCTTCTTTCATACTCCCTCCACAACATAACAATATTTTCATTTCAAAAGTACGTAGATTAATAATAGTGAAAGAGAATATAAATTATTGAGACTATGATGGAAAGATAGGGGAATAGTGTGATGGAATGAAAGATAAATAAAAAAAAGAAGTTGTAAACATGTGTATTATTTTCAAAATTATTGAGAGTATGATGAGAATATTTAGAAATGACAGTTTTTTTGTTACAGACGAAAAAGAAAAGTGGAAAGTTTTTTTTGTTACCTAGGGGAGTACTTTTCAGTTTTTACGGTTTACTTCTTTGTGAAAACGAATGTTAATAAAAATTTAAGTGAGATAAAGATTAGGATTGAGGTTGAGAAAATTATCATTATCGTGACCATCTTTGCTTTGAAGATATTATCATCATCATCCAAACGCACCATCGTTATCATCATAATATTGCAATAGCTAAACATACTTTTCAATCATTGTATACCAGCTACACGAGTGTATCCAATAAATAAAAAGCCTCCGTCCGGCTTATTACGAGTATGTTTGTCACAATTAGCTGAAAAGATTTTATAAGCTTTTTAATAATTTTTAGCTTTTCGTGACCGAAAAGATCTTAAAAATGATTATTTGGTAAGAAACCGACGGTTTGATTTAGTTCGATTTGGTATACAAGTTGTTAGGACTAATTAATACTAAGAGCCCGTTTGGTAACATTAAAAGTGGCTGAATTGGCTGATTCTGCTGAAATTTATGAAATTCTGGCTGAAGTGGCTATATTGGCTAATTCATGAAAAAATTATATTTAAAATATTTGTTATTAATAAATTAAATAAAAATTATATGAAAATAGCTAAAATGATCCTCTACAGTAACGTCAGCCAATACAGCCAGAAACGTAACTCTAACCTTACTTTTTCTGCTTATTACAAAATTCAGCGCGCGAAATCTAAAGTTACGTGTTTGGTGAAAAAGATGGTTGATAAGCCTGATAAGCCGAAAAAGGGGGTCACCAAACGGGCTCTAAAAGTCACGGTTTTTTTTTTCAGATGCTAGAGGTCAAAAAAAGGTTCTTTTAATTTTTGAAAACCTCTTAAAAATTGTCATGTCAAACATATAACTAGAAACTTTTAGAGACTTTTTGAACAGTACAAAAGCCATAAGGTAGAAGCTTATGCCCGACAAACATAGCTGATGGAGTATATGGACTCCGACCCCCCGATCTGCCGACTACTGGGACTGGACATCGGCCCACACACATGCTTAGCGGATTCTTATTATTTTACATTATTATTCAGATGTTCTAGATTAGCTCTTTATACTATCAGTCCATTTATGTAACCGGGTCTGTCAGGCCCATATTAGAGGCCCAGACCCCGATTTTCCCTATATATACTCCTTATAGGAGGATTGTAAAGATGACACACAACTCATAGAACTCATTACTCATACACAATACACTTTCATTTCTTTCTCCTACGTTCTTGTTCAATCTCTCCTAGTTTAGCCAATATGGGTATCAATTATCCAACAATGGTGCTCTCGTTGAGAGGTTTGAACACAATCAAGTGAGAAAACCTCCCAAAAAACCAAAAATTCATTTGAATCACAAGAAATAAAAAAAAACACACAAGCTGGAATTTCAACAAAGAAAGCTAGAAACTAAGATATGGAGTTGGCAAGCCTTCGTATGTTATCTCCATCTCGATTGCCATTGTGTACCAGAGAGCACCACCGCCTCGAGATCTGAGCCGCTGAGCGGGAGAATCACCATCGTTGGATGCTATAAGCTTGGGTCCGCCGGCTCTGTCTCAACGCCTCCCACCTCGCTCCGCCTCTGTATTCCCGTCGATTGTTGAAGCTCAACCTCAGGTACCGCCATTAATGGTTGCTTCAACGCCCTTGGA